TTTCTTTTTTTTTTTTTTTATTCTTTTTTTGTCAATCTTTTTATTGAAATTTTTGTTTTTTATCATACCCATGTGGGTCTTGAAACACAATAAACATACAGTATACTTATTCATATGTTGCAATATAAGATGAACAATAGTGTGTTAACATAAGTTAGCCACAGAAGGTGTGGACCAGCATTGGTACATTATCAGGAGTGTGTGAACTGCTCAGCGAGAAAGGCTGTATGGTAGGGATGGGCTTAAATGCAACCCTGTCGGGTTTTAGAGTTAAAGCCTTCTTCTAAGCGAACCCCAAGTCCGAGAGGGCCTCGGTGGGGGGGTGAGGGACTGGATATGGAGCGGCCGATCCCTCTTTTTGATGGGGGAACAAGTGAACTGGGTATGGCTCAAGGCTAACTGATCATAAACATCACGTCTTTAGCTGAACAGTGCATGTCCTGGTTGTTGATGCCTCTGCGGCTCTTGGGAGAGTCAGGTCTCCGGTGTGGATCGTTGGTTGGTGTCTTGCGTGGGTGCTGGAAGGCCCAGTGCCTGACAGAATGCTGGGAACTCTGCGAGTGTGGAGAGTTTATAGACAGTTCCTTTATGTGTGACCACCAGGAATCTGGGAGATCTACAGTGGTATTCCATTCCCGCTTCTCTGAGGGTGCTTATGACTTTGTTCAGCGATCTTCGCCATTGAAGCGTGGATCTGGTGAGGTCTTGGTAAATGGTAAGCTGTGCGCCTTCAAATGTTAGTGGCGTCTTGCCCCGAAGAGCTGTCATCGGGGCTCTCTTGTCTTGGGAAGTGGCACAGCGTACAATCACATCTCGGACCATGTTTGGGGCTGTTCTGCCTGAGGGTGGTAGGCGGTACATCCCGTCTGTGTTAAATTTTTTAGCATGCGTTGGCGTCAGGATGGCGGCCACTGGGCGCCTCAAATAGTGAGGCAGTTCATCGGGTGTGATGGCGTCTGGCACTCCCCTGATCTTAATGTGGTTGCGTGTTGTCCTGTCATCGAGGGCAATATAGTGGAGAGAGTGCTTGTTGTTGGGCCTGTAGGGCCAGTACAGAGTCCTGTAAGGTTGCTAGTCCCTGCTTGATGCCAGAGACATCCTTCTGTCAGTGGTAGCCTGCACATCTGTTTTAATGGCTGCTATGCTGGTTGCCAGGAGGTTTTTGATTTCCCCAATTAGGTGTTGAAAGTCCCGCTGGGTGACTGGGGCAGACCCATCTTGAATCCCCATGGGCGTTTGTGGCCTTTCTGGGGGTAGTTCAGGTTGTATAGGGTATTTTGGTACCTGCATGGTGTCCTGTTCCGCTGCTCCCGCCATTTTGGATGGCGGCCGTTGTTGTTGGTACCTATGTCCCTGGACCCCTGATGGCGTCTCCGGTGGAGGTTTTTGGGACCGGCAGCCCATTGCTGCCCTGGTATAGTGCTGTGGGGAGGTCTTCCACTTCTGGGTCCTCGGGTTGTTCAAGTCTGCCCAGGAGCGCCGACCAGTCGAGGGCTGCTGCGGGCTTGTAGGCCGCGGGTCTGCGCTTTCGTCGGTTCACCCGTGCCGGATACACAAACGGCATGGGGGGCTGCTGGGCTGTACACAAATGGTGCCCCTGGTCAGGAGTGGGTCAGTTGAGGGTTTTAAGCCTCAATCAGCAGGCTTTGATGCGGGTTTTGGTCGGAGGCTATGATGTGTTGCGTCCGCTCCAGCTCATGGTCAGGCTCCGCCCCCCCCTTATGCTTTATTTTTATTGTTCAGGTGGGTACATAACATAACAAACGCCACAACAGTGTACATAGAAGTACACAGGTTAGACTGTGGCATGAGTAATTGCACGTTTATTTAAAAAAAAAAAATTTAAACAAGCTTAGTATAACTGATGAGTTTCAATTAAGTATTCTAGTATAAATGAGAAACAGTAATGTAGTACAGGTAAGTGTCTTGTGTTAAACAGGCTGGGTGTATGTTAACATTAGTGTATTACAAGATTGTGGTAGACAGGCTGGGGACACGCTAGCAGTAGTGTATGACAAGTTTGTGTCTTGTGCTAAACAGGCTGGGTACATGTTAGCAATTGCAGGTCTGATTTCTGACAGACAAGTTACGTTTTTTGTAGGACAGCAAGATTTTCAGATGGAATGGGTCCTATTTATAGCATAATTCATCTTGGATTCATACTATTTACCAAGGGGAGCTGCAAGCTACAAGAAGAAACAGCAGCTTGCGATAGATAGAAAAAAGAGAAGGAGAAAGGTCCTACAGAGCCCCAGGCAGTTTACCAGTTTGGACCCCCTTCATTCTTCACATAGGGATAGTAAATGGGGCCAAGCATTAGCACAGACCTAAAATCATTTTATGGTTAATACCACCCTCGGTAGAAAGTGGGGCGATAGATTCTCTGCATTTCACATAGAAAGTGATGGCAAATAAGAACCATTCGGCCCATCTAGTCTGCCCAATTTTCTAAATACTTTCATTAGTCCCTGGCCTTATCTTATAGTTAGACTAGCCTTATGCCTATCCCACGCATGCTTAAACTCCTTTACTGTGTTAACCTCTACCACTTCAGCTGGAAGGCTATTCCATGCATCCACTACCCTCTCAGTAAAGTAATACTTCCTGATATTATTTTTAAACCTTTGCCCCTCTAATTTATGACTATGTCCTGTTGTGGTAGTTCTTCTTTTAAATAGAGTCTCCTCCTTTAATTTCAATCAGGAATTCCGATGCTGAACTTCACATTTACTCATGGACAGTGATTCTTTTGGTTACGCTCCGCCACCTCTAAGGGGTCTATGTATTTTCTCTTAGGAATCTGAAATCAGTGATCCCCAACACAGTACACCTGACCAGGTGTATGGGAGAGAAAGAAGGCTGGGTGCTACATATATTTAGTTGGCAAAGTAATAGATTGGATCATATATTGCGTTATTATTTTATTAAAGCAAGTTATTAGCATACTTTTAAGAATACAAGTATTGTACAATTTCCAGTGATCTGTGGCAAGAAAATATATAATATTTGCATTTACCAGACTGCGGCAGTGTCTTAACACACCTACATCCTGTTCACCAAGGGTTAACTTATAATAGAAACATAGAATGTGACGGCAGATAAGAACCATTCGGCCCATCTAGTCTGCCCAATTTTCTAAATACTTTCATTAGTCCCTGGCCTTATCTTATAGTTAGGATAGCCTTATGCCTATCCCACGCATGCTTAAACTCCTTTACTGTGTTAACCTCTACCACTTCAGCTGGAAGGCTATTCCATGCATCCACTACCCTCTCAGTAAAGTAATACTTCCTGATATTATTTTTAAACCTTTGTCCCTCTAATTTAAGATTATGTCCTCTTGTTGTGGTAGTTTTTCTTCTTTTAAATATAGTCTCCTCCTTTACTGTGTTGATTCCCTTTATGTATTTAAATGTTTCTATCATATCCTCCCGTCTCGTCTTTCCTCCAAGCTATACATGTTAAGTTCTTTTAACCTTTCCTGGTAAGTTTTATCCTGCAATCCATGAACCAGTTTAGTAGCCCTTCTCTATCAATATCCTTCTGAAGATACGGTCTCCAGTACTGCGTACAATACTCCAAGTGAGGTCTCACCAGTGTTCTGTACAATGGCATGAGCACTTCCCTCTTTCTACTGCTAATACCTCTCCCCATACAACCAAGCATTCTGCTAGCATTTCCTGCTGCTCTATTAAATTGTCTGCCTACCTTTAAGTCATCTGAAATAATCACCCCTAAATCCCTTTCCTCAGATGTTGAGGTTAGAACTCTATCAAATATTCTGTACTCTGCCCTTGGGTTTTTACGTCCCAGATGCATTATCTTGCACTTATCCACATTAAATGTCAGTTGCCACAACTCTGACCATTTTTCTAGTTTACCTAAATCATTTGCCATTTGGCTTATCTCTCCTGGAAGATCAACCCTGTTACATATCTTAGTATCACAGCAAAAAGACATACCTTACCATCAAGACCTTCTGCAATATCACTAATAAAAATATTAAAGAGTACAGATCCCTGAGGTACCCCACTTGTGACAAGCCCAAGCTTCAAATATACTCCATTGACTACGACCCTCTGTTGCCTGTCACTCAGCCACTGCCTTACCCATTCAACAATATTGGAATCCAAACTTAAAGATTGCAGTTTATTGATAAGCCTTCTATGAGCAAGAGTGTCAAAAGCCTTACTGAAATCTAGGTAAGCAATGTCTACTGCACCACCCTGATCTATAATTTTAGTTACCCAATCAAAAAAATCAATACGATTAGTTTGGCATGATCTCCCTGAAGTAAACCCATATTATCTCTGATCTTGAAATCCATGTGTTTTTAGATTTTCAACAATCCTATCCTTTAACATGGTTTCCATCACTTTCCCCACTACTGAAGTAAGGCTTACTGGCCTATAGTTGCCCAACTCCTCCCTATTACCTTTCTTGTGAATGGGCACAACATTCGCTAACTTCCAATCTTCTGGGTCTACTCCTGTTAACAACGATTGGTTAAATAAATCTGTTAATGGTTTTGCTAGTACACCACTAAGCTCTTTTAATAGCTTTGGGTGTATTCCATCAGGTCCCAATTGACTTATTTGTCTTTACTTTTGACAGATGAAATAGAACCTCTTCCTCTGTAAACTCACTTGTAATAAATGACTAATTTATCCTTTTTCTTAACTGAGGTCCCTTCCCTTCATTTTCATCTGTAAATACTGAACAAAAATATTCATTGAGGCAGTCAGCTAGACCTTTATCCTCTTCTACATACCTTCTTTCTTTTGTTTTTAATCTAACTAATCCTTGTTTTACTTTTCTTTTCTGAGTTATGTATCTAAAAAACGTTTTGTCGGGGCGGGGCTTACCAAGCAACCTGACCAGACGCCATTTCTCTAAGCTCCCTAAAACAAAACACAATCCTGCGGATATAGGCAGTACTGAACCCAATCCAAATACCACACCAGCATGACTGGTGCCAGAAGGGCAGGGAGCACCGATCGATGCCTTTCTTTCAACCACCGAAGACGCCACGATGGAAATACAAAACTGGGGCCTACCGCACACTGCAAGACCTCGGCAGTTTCCTAGGAGGCATCGCAACAACCAGCGCTGCAACACCCCACAGCCTAGCTGCATCTGCCTCGCCGACCAACATTCCGAGCATGGGCAGGCGCTCCCAAAAAACGCGCACCCCAGCAGAGGGCAGAGATATAGGAGCCATGCTCCAGCGACCGGCGCAACCTAAGCCCACCACCACCAATGGACAACCAGACAAGGTGCAGAATCCGACGCTACAACAACATGAGCCCGAGAGCCTGCAATACTCACCAACACCCATGGCCGAGTCTCCAGAATCAGCCGATGACACTGCACCGACCACCAAGAAGGACTTAGAACTAATGCTTGCCGAAATCCATAAACTCGGCCATTCTTAAAACAGAAGTAAGGGGAGTGTCGGAGAGGGTTAGAACTAATGAAACAGCGCTAATGGAGGTACAGTCCCAGCTCAACATGATGGCGGACTCTATAAAAACGCTACAAACTCAGCAACAATCTACGACACTCAAGCTTTCCAATATGGAAGACCGCCAGAGGCATACCCACATCAAAATCAGGGGCATCCCCGCAACGATCACGGCAGAGGAATTACCCCATTATTTTAGGAGAATGCTAGCCACAATCCTGTCACACACAGTGGCCAAGAAGATGGCAAGAGAAAGCGTATACCGCCTCCCAAACCCTCCACATCACCGGACTAACACGGGGAAAGACGTCATCCTTCGCTGCATCTCCCTATCTGACAAAATGCAAATATTGTCAGCGCTGAAAGGCAAAACACCGTTCACCTTCGAAAACTCGACCCTGACCTTCTTCCAAGATTTGACAAGGTCCACACTATTTTGCACCGCAAATTGTACACTCCAGTCACGACACTGTTGCGAACCGCGGGACTGAGCTACCGCTGGGGGTGGAACGGCTCACTAGCGGTGACTCGAGATGGGACAGTACATACTTTGCCATCCATGTCAGAGGCGGCATCCTTCCTGGAGACCCTGGGACTTTCGCCCCAAGACACACCAGCCGCCTCAGGAGTGCAGAGGTGGGACCCGGCTTCCATAACACCATTCGTCCCTAGAACAGCAAGCCAGCAGGAGATGGCCAACCCGGAATGAAAAGCACAGATGGGACTTTTACTACCGCACCTCAACAAACCTTACTTGTCTAACTTCACACGCACCATACGCTTACCTACCTGGGCTCCATAAGGTCCAGGCTTAACACAAACACGTCGACTAGACGCCGGAAACAGAGACCACAGTAAGTGGCAAAAATACCCCCCCACATCCGCAACCCCTTTGGTCAGGGGCCATAAACCCGCATGCATAGGTTAACGCAATATACATACTGGGCTCATGGGCACAATCCTCACCCCCAATATGCAAATGCCCTCCTAGCTAGATGTAAGCACGATACAACCTTGCCTTCACTAAAACCAAGCACTCGGGAGAGAGCCGATCAGGTGAACTAACCAAAGTACTCCTCAAGCACTTCACCCCCACCTGTTCACTCCACTCCCATAAGGTACTTACGCTTAAACACTCTCACTATCAGGTTTCAGTCTAGGAATTTAAATGCCAATACAACTCGCCTATCGCACCTAGACAGACTGATACCACACAACACTGTACAATAGTACACCTGACACCGCTTGTTAAATGTATAAAAATTGTGCTTTTGTTGATATGCTACATACATGTGTATCCATTGTTCTTGCTGTGGCTATTGTGGCTAAGCAAGCTGCTTGTTAAGAATTGCACACAAAAATAAAGAATAAAAAAAAATAAAAACGTTTTTTCCCACTTTTTTACTGACTGTGCTATTTTCTCTTCTGTGTGTGATTTGGAAGCTCTTATAACTTGCTTAGCCTCTTTCTGCCTAATCTTATAGATCATTTTGTCTCCCTCACTCTGGGTTTTTTTATAATTCCTAAATGCTAACTTCTTGTTTTTTACTATTTTGGCCACATCTGCGGAGTACCACAGTGGTTTCTTGAATTTTTTGCTTTTACTGACAAGCCTAATGCAATTTTGTGTTGCCTTCAGTAGTGCAACTTTTAAATAATCCCATTTCTCTTGGACTCCATTTAAATTGCTCCAGTCTGATAATGACTCCTTTACACATAATTTTAGAAAAGTCTGTTTTTCTAAAGTCTAAAACATTTGTTTTTGTGTGGTGTGACTCAGTCACTGTTCTTACATTAAACCACACTGACTGATGATCACTGGATCCTAAACTATCACCTACAGTAATATCTGATACCAAATCTCCATTTGTTAACACTAAATCTAGTATGGCCTCTTTACGAGTTGGCTCCTCAATGACTTGTTTTAGAGACAATCACAGTAGGGAGTTTAGAATATGTGTGCTCCTGGCACAAGCAGCTAATTTTGTTTTCCAATTCACATCAGGAAGATTAAAGTCACCCATGATGATAACTTCCCCTTCATTGTCATTTTAGCTATTTCCTCAACTAGTAGATTATCTAACTCTTCAATTTGTCCTGGGGGCCTATAAATCACACCTACACGAGTTACTGTGTGATTACCAAATTCTAACATAACCTTTATACAATGTACAATGACAGGTGGGAACATACATTATATTTATATAGTGTTTATTTGGCTTGCATACACTGGGCACCTTATTAGGAACTGAAAAATTGTAGCTTCATGATTAAATTGTGCAAAACCGCAATGTCTGAAAACACAGGTGAGAAAGGTCGAAAATACAAATAATCCCTCTATGTAAGAAGGAATGGGTGATTAATGCGAAAATCCATTAAATGTGTTCACCTACTTATCCATAGGCTTATAGCTGCCACTTACATCAAACATTCAGCAAATATTACTATTATTCATTTACTACCTGGCAACAAGACATCACAGTGAGTATTATTAAAAGGTGTGCATGCAGTTCAACTAAGTATTGAGACCAGTGTGTATAATGTAACCGGATGAGCATAAAATAGTGTGTGGTTCCCAGTTCTGGCTATTCATGGCTGCTTAGCAATGTGCAAGACAGATATATCTGACAGATCAAATATTGGTTTCTTAGAATAATTAAAATAAGCTCATTTGTAAAGCACTGCTGACCAGAGTTGCACTTTTGGTTGTAACACCCTTACATACTGACCATTGTTTCAGGACTCTAACAGGATTATTTAGTTAAGTGACTATTTCAAATTTAAGACCAGAGTAGCCGAACTTAGAGCATAGCTAACGTAGAGACTTTTTCCAGTTCAGCTATTTTGGTTTCACATTTGAAATTAAATTATCTGTTAAAAAAAAAAATCTGTAAGTCAATTCTGTGGATAGATGCATTAAATGAAAGAACAGTGTGCATTGATGACCCAAACCAGTAGCGAAACTACTGGCACTGGCTGGCCTGCACACTGAGGGGGCACATTGGGTGGCTCGTGCACTTAGGGCCACCTGGTGGCAAAGTGTCTTCAGGGGCCTGGACAGTTCTGCGGCAATTTAACAGCGCAACAGGGTCCATTTTAGAATGTCAGCGCTGGGATGAAGTGACAGCAAGGGAGTTGGATGACAGCTGGCGATCTAGCTTTTGGCCAACCTTGGGGGTTTCCCCCAAAAAATGATTGTACCAAGGCCCTCTCTACTTTAGTTCCACCCCTGACCCAAACACCATGGTATCATTGAATATGATATGGCATTAAGCCTTTCCTTTACCCGTAGGGATTTAAACATCAGACACAGCTTGTCCAAATTACTTGTCAAAAAGCTATTATAGTGGTTTATTTATTTACTAAACTGGAAACTGTGGAGAATTAACAGAGTAAACTTCAGATTTTAGGCCAAAAATTGTTGGGCTGATTAAATAGCTGTGTGTGAGATTTTTTGTATATAATCATATTAGATGGCAATATAAAATGCTCATCGCAATTCTCCACAATTTCGTGTTGAATGAATAAACCTCTTTATGAAGAAATCTCAGCATGTGAACTCCCATTGTTGGGACACAATATAAAATATTTGAATTGCAAAATTTCTTGTTTTACAAGCTATTGTGCAATTCTAGAAAGAAAAGGAAATTAAGTCATATTTATGATATGCACAGTGGATTTTTTTTTCCAAAGAAACAGATCAATGGGTAGATTTATGATTCATAGACAGTGATCATACTTGAAATAACAAAAGTGGAACACAAGTTCTCTGTATGAGTAAATTTTGTGTGGATATCAGGTTTCCTAATGAAGCCTGTCATGGTGTGTAGTTCCGTATGGAGGTCTGACATTTCAACTGAAAACTTAGCATGTATGTCCCTTAGTAGTTCCTTACGATCTTCATTTGAGTACATAGTGTTATCTCCATCAGGAAAACCTCATATAGACCACCTGGAGATAGGATAGGGTCAATTTTACCATGTGACAGGAGGCATATTTTGCATTAACTTTCTTTACTAACTCCATAGCAGCAAAAAACGTAGACAAAAAAGAACCAATCAGAGACAAGGATAGGGTATAGCACATGCCCTTCACGCTGACGTACTTCCTCTTTCTTTGCTGCCCCATCGCAAATCAGGTCAAAGTATTCTGTTCTAACATTTTTCCTTTGACTCAGCTATTGTATCTTTATTATACCTTTTCCTTATGTGTATTGTTATACTGTTTTACTTAAATTTACTAGCCTGATCTAGTGTCTTAGAGGCTCTGGGGAGGTTTCTATAATTTTTATTTTATTTTATCTGAAAATATACTTAGTATAAAGTTTTACTTACAGGGTTTTTCACTAAAGTGAGAATTAAAATAGAATTTCCAATTCAAGGTAAAAATAACTAAAATGTCAAAATTTATCAAATTAGGCAGACTAGATGGGCCAAATGGTCCTTATCTGCTGTCACGTCACATTCTATAAGCCAGCTATGCTACCAGTGTGACTACTTTGGTCTTTTATTTGAAATTCATGTTGAAATCTCACTTTACAGAGTTAGTCACCAAAGTGAGAATGCAACGTGAATGTAAGGAAACCAAGTACATTGCTGGTACTGCTGAGCCATTCATTCCTTTGCTTGTTTGAAACGTCCGTTCGGGATTCGAATCCCGCCGCTTGCCACCAGTTGTAAGGAAACCAAGTACATTTAAACCTCAATCGGTAGTTTCCTCGAACTGCCAGAGCCTAGTGAACATAGCCCTCCATTCGGTAGTTATGATAGACGAATCCTAGTGTAGTTCCAATAGGGCCACTGGTTAATTCCCTCAGTAAAACACACGAATCCCCAAACAGCATACGTAGTCAGAAGAAGGGTACAAAGATGAACTAAGGATTTATTGATAGACATTCTCTTTTTATGGGATTCTGCCCATGGAAGGGAGCCTCCCATATAATTAACTGTACAACCAATCTTAACAATATACATACTGTACATCTCTTCCCCTCAGATAACCAATTAACCCAATTAAAACGGAACACATTTTCCGCAAAGTCTGGATGTACCCCAAAGACTTGGGGACCAACATATGAAAAAATCAGTCCATTCGGTTCAGCCGTTCGGGAGATATGGGACTTAGAAGTTTTGACCGACTGCACGGGCAAAGTAGCCGAAAACAGTTCCACGAATTCTGGCCTTGCAGTCGGTCTTAGGTCGCGTGTAAAACTTCCCGAACGGCCGGCCATCCAGATGCCATCCGGGGTTCGCTGAACTCCCCATCTGTTAGTAAGTCTTTCTACCGAATGCCCGGTCATTCGGTAGTTTTAGTGGGGTTCTACCGAAGGTATGGAGGATTCAGCAGTGTTCGCCTATTTGAGTGTCCGTTTTTAGTTCCAGACACTCGACGGCAAACACCGCTGTTCGGGAGTTAAAATGGCTGCAAACATGTGGAAGTCCCGAAATGGTGGCGGTGCATACAGTTCGTGCAGAACTTTTGTCGAACATGCCCATCAGGCAGGGAGGTAAAGCACTCATAATGGGCAACGGGGTGGTCTCGATTCGGTAGTTTTACCTACCGAATGCCATAGGGGAAGATAACATGAAACAAGGGAATACAAATTGTCATTTTGAAGCCAAATAGAGGGATTTCTTCACAGTGAATTTCAAATTTAAGTTTAAAATAACCAAAGTGGAAAAATGCTCTAAGTCAGCTCTGCTACCTGTGCGACTACTTTGACTTTAAATTTGAAATTCTTTTCTCACTTTAGTAAGTAGCCCTGTATGTGAATAACCCTGTTAGACAGATGTATTTACTAAAGTGAGAATTCAAAGTGTATTTTCACTTTAAGGTCAAAATAGTAATTGTGAAAGTCAGCTACTATGCTTACACATGGGCTACTCTAAATTTAAATCTAATACAGTATTTAGTGACATGCAGTTTTACAGTCAACCAGCAGGTGGAAGCAGTATACAACTCTTCTGCTAGAACTGCTCCTGCTTCACTTCCTTGTCTCACTTCCTCCAGGTGTTGGTGAAAATGCAATGGGGGGTTTAAAGCCCTGCATATAAGACTTCAATTGAGGACTGTGTGATGCCCACAAGCAAAATGGCCGCATTAGCACCATCTGGACTTCAGTGGGACACCCTGGAGCAGAGGAAACACCAAGGGGAGAACCTGTATTACCAGATCTATGTGTGGAAGTTGCAGCAGCTGCCTGCAGATGTGCACAGGTTCTGTGACCCAGAGCTACCTGCCCCTCGCAGAAAAGAGCTGCTCCACATGCTCAGGAGCCTGGAGGAGGACTCCAGCTGCCAGAGACTGCAGATCTTATTCTCCTTCTCTGTCCCCAGTCCACAGGTGTTGGAGCTGCTGTGCAGTCTGCGTCTGCCTCTGGTCTCTGCTGGAGCTGTGAGTGTGATTCTGCAGAGATCAGGGAGTGGGGGTAGTTTTAGGTTAGGAATGGTCAGGAGCAACACATGTTGTTGAACTACCACTCCCATCATCCATTTTCAGCCTTAAGATGGTTCTACAACATCTGGGGATCTATCTATTTTGACAGAAGACACATTACATTAGCAATTTTGTTACAGAGTTTGGAACAGTGGAGTAATAATTCAATATTAAAGGGATAATATTTGGGACTTGGTAGGGGTATGGTAAACAAATGCATTTTATTGTAGGCTTCTGAATTGTAGTGAATGAAAATTTAAAATTTAGATTTTAAATTGTATTCTTTACTATTAAAGGCTGCCAGGAGCAGCCAGCCACATAAATGTATGATCGTGTAAAAGTGTGTGTGTGTGTATACATGTAACAGTGTGTGTATATGTTTAACTGTGTGTTCAATGTGCATATATGTATATGTGTAACAATGTGTGTGTATATATGTGTATGCTGGCAACTATAAAAGTGTGTGCAATTTGGTGAGGGTGGTGTGGCCATGAGGGCAGTGGTGGAGGCCAATCAAGTCATTGTGGGACTCCGGAGGGCTCTTATATTAGGGGCCTGGTAGCCCTTTAAAAGTGCATCTGGTCGGGCCCCTGTCACAGTGTTAATTCCCCCTACAGCTTACTGAGAGTTTAGGTCACTTCCTCCCAGCTTTCTGAGAGACAAGATCATACACACACACAGAGGAGAGGGGGGGATATAAATACTATGGCTACAACTATGTTAATTGTTACTTATGTGTATGTCCGTTTGTATGTGTACCTGTGTGTGTGTGTATGTATATATATGTATAACTGAGTGAATGCGTATCTGTGGCAGCGTGTGTATCTGTGTGTGTGGGGCAGTGCATAAATCCCATCATTCAAAAGCCAACATTGCAATCAGATACACACCCAGCATTCAAACACATAAATGCAGCCTTGCATTCAAATTCCATTAGTACAAACACCACTACATTCAAATGCACACACTACACACAAACACACAGCTGTATTCAAACGCCAACACTAAATACAAATCACATTTTTATTTTTGTAATAAAGTTATAAATTACATTTATGATATGTGAAGTTGTTCTTTGTGCCCACTGTTTTCTTGTTTTACAAATGTGTGTGTGTGTGTGTGTGTATATGTATATATATAATGCATGTGTTCCTCCGTACCTATTTCTCTGGTTTATTGAATACCTCTTATGGAAATTACTCACACACACAATTACAAGCAAATTTGGAAAAATATTTTAAAACTTGATGCCGACAAATAATTATTACTTTTTATGTGTTTACCACTAGTAGCAATTTACTAATCAAATGTTAAATTTAATAACTGCACAAATACATTCACAAATTTTAAAGGACCACTATAGTGCCAGGAAAACATACTCGTTTTCCTGGCACTATAGTGCCCTGAGGGTGCCCCCACCCTCAGGTTCCCCCTCCTGCCGGGGTGGATGGAGAGGAAGGGGTTAAATGCACCTCTTTCTCCAGCGCCGGGCGGGGGAATCTCCTCCGCCTCCTCTCCTCCTCTTCGGCTGAATGCGCATGCGCGGCAGGAGCTGCGCGTGCATTCAGCCAGTCCATAGGAAAGCATTCACAATGCTTTCCTATAGACGGTAGTGTCTTCTCACTGTGAAAATCACAGTGAGCAGCGCGGAAGCGCCTCTAGCGGCTGTCAATGAGACAGCCACTAGAGGCTGGATTAACCCTAACATAAACATAGCAGTTTCTCTGAAACTGCTATGTTTATAGAAAAAAGGGTTAATCCTAGCCGGACCAGGCACCCAGACCACTTCATTAAGCTGAAGTGGTCTGGGTGCCTATAGTGGTCCTTTAATTATTTCAGAGCATCAACAAAACTCATATTACAAATGCACATTATGGTGTTGTCATAACGTGCTATTTTGCTCAAGTGATATTTACCACACCAGGGTTATTTCCGCAGTGTTGTTTTTTGATAGGTACAGTGCAAATAAAGAAAATTACACAAAATCTTTCCCTCACATGCAGTTCATATTTTGCAACAATTTTTTCAGTTACAACCTATTAGGGTCTTGTTTCTAATATTGTCAGTAAGTGTTAACTACAAGCCCATGTTTGGTAAAATGGTCTTTTTCCATCCTGCAAAGTCTACGACTGTTAATTACCGGCATCCTGAACTTTAACATTTTTTGTGAAGAATAATAGGTGTCAATAAGCACTTTACCAACGCGTTTCCATGATAAATGCTGGATTTTATTGGCTGCTGCTGCCCAACCAACATTAAGTCCTGCCACAGCTTGGTGTGAACAGAATGTCATGTTAACAACTACAAGTAAACTTTAGAAGATGTACAGTATATGTCATTACATTTAAACCCTAAAGCACAATGCAAAGCATATTAAACATTTGTTAAAAAAAGGAAAAGGCGGGGGGGGGCGGAGCCTGACGACCAACCTGTATAGACGCCATCTCACGCAGCTCCCAGATTGCCGACCACAATCTCGCTAAAATCACCCGACACAGGGGCCATCCGGCAAAACAAAGTGCATTTCCAGCACCACGACGTTGGGGCGAGCAGTTTGATGCCCTTTTTTCAAGCCGCCAAGCAACCCAGGCCGCGGCGCAAAACCGCGGCCTACCGTGCCACACCAATCCTTAGCCTCGAGGCACTCCTCGGCGGACAGGGAGCGGGTCGCGATTACCCAGTCTGCCCCCTGCAGGACGCACCAACCATGGGCCGACGCACCCCTAAACCCACGGCTGGAAATACTACCCAAGGTAGGGACATAGGGGAAATGCTGCTCCGATCAGCGCAGACCGCGCCAGCATATGATGATTTCCCGCCAAACATGGCTCCCGTCCCGGAGAGAGAGGGAGAGGAGACCCTCCACACGCAGAACACCCAGGTGGGACACACAACACCCCCAGCCTCGCCAGAGGACTCAGCCCCCACCACTAAAGGGGACCTGAAAGCCCTCCTGGCTGACATCCAGAAGCTACTGGCGGCAGATGTAGCCCTGATTAAAAGGGACATGCAACGAGTCACAGACCGTGTCACAAACGCGGAGAGGGACATAGCAGGCGTCCATACCACTATGACCACCCTGAAAGACTCAGTCCAACAGCTGCACATGGAACAACACGTCCTAGCAACCCAAATAATGTCCCTGGAAGACAAACAACGCCGAACACACATAAAGATCCGCGGCATACCCAACACCATCACCACTAAAGAACTGCCGCACTATACGAGACGTCTCTTGACTACAATCCTGTCACAACCAATAGCTAAGAAAATCACACTGGACGGTATGTACCGAGTAACAGGCTCAGCACGCACCGCACCGGGCACCCCCAGAGATGTCATCCTACGATGTGTCACCATACATGACAAGATTCAAATAATGACTGCCCTGAAAGGCAAAACGCCACTGGAATTTGAGGACGCAAAGTTATTATTTATTCAAGACCTCACCAGAGCCACGTTACTTAGACGCAAATCTTTTGGCCCAGTAACGTCCACTCTACGCAAAGCGAACATACCATATAGATGGGGGAACACCGGCTCCTTAATTGTCCATCATGCTGGGACCACCCACAACCTTACCTCCCCCATGGGAGCCCCAGCCTTCCTGTCCGCAATGGGCTTGCAGCCGAATCAACCGCCTACCACAGACGACAATCAAGATGTCACCTGGGACCCAACACCTCAACCGGACAACGGGCGGAATACCCACAGCGCCCCAACACCTGACCCTTATCTGGGACTGAGTCAACCTGGCCGCTGAACAACCATCTAGCCATCGAAAACCACACCGACCAACTACTTGCTTGGACTTTTACCCACACCAATTGAGAATTTCTCATGTTCAGTTACTATGTTTTTTTTTTGTATGCACATGCTAACAACACACCCCAACTTCTGGCATAGGTACCACTACCCCCAAACATAACGGGGTTTTACACACTTCTCTTTACAGCCACTGGCCTCTGAGACCCAAGCAATCTGGCAACAAGAAGCGCCTTAAACACCCCCCCCCCCTGCCACCCCCTTAGGTTAGGGGTAAAACTAAGCGTGCCAGTCCACCACCAAGTCATCGACTGGATCAATGTCCACACTAACATGAATATAACTCAGCATATAGTACCCAGTAGGTACACACACCCTGGCACTACTAACGCACATAGACGCCAACCTGACACCACACATGTGTAGGCTCCTACGCAGCCCTGCAGCCTCATGCACCACAAAGGAGCATACACCACACCCCAGGCCTGTAGTACCCCGGGAGCGCAACACAGTCCGATCACTAACCTGCAGACATCTAGCTAGCCCCGGGTTTGTTCCCAAACATGGCCGAAATAAAAAAAAAAGTGCTTACCATATGCATTTCACTGTAAATCCTAACACCAACCCCACATGCTAAGAGATTACCTGTTACTGTTGAATATTTGCAAACTTATGATCTCATGAAATGCTGAATGTAACTCGCATGTACAACTGCGCACAGAAAAATAAAGAATTAAAAAAAAAAAAAAAAGGAAAAGGCAGAGACTTATTTAAGTAAAGTGCATATGTCATTTATATGAGATAGGAAGAAAGAATAAGAAGGGGCATAAAAGCAAAAAGTTAAATATTAGTAAAATATATGTATGAGTGTGTGTGTTGAATGTGTGTTTCTTTCTGATTATGTGTAAGTACATGTTTGTACCCAACAACTTATACTGGCCTGTAAATCTAACTTGCTACCACAGCCTACTCAAAAAATGCTTTTCTATGTCCAACTCAAGCCAATGCCACCATATGATACTGTAGCATCAGTTTGCAATGCTTCCCTATTGTATTGCCCTTCGTCTCAAGAGTCAGTTGACGTTGCAGGGTGCAGAGTGTCGGAGGGAGTCTTGGTGCTGAAACTATATTTTTTAGGTTTATACTGGAGACAAGGGGGGGGGGAGGAGGGGGTACAACAAACCTGTAATAAGTCTTTGAATACAGCTTTGTATTCCTAACAATATTATGTCCTATAAGGGATATATGTAAAAAGTAAAACGTAATGAACAAGTATTGCATCATTGTTCAAACCTTTATCATATCTACATTTCCTATTACACTGTTTTCCATCTTTATCACCAAAATTTTCTGAAACTATTTGGGAGTGGTTTGAGATTCTTACGTTCTCTTATCTCTACTTCTTTTTATTCAGGGTACCGGTTACTGGGAGTATTTACTACAAAGGCTAGGCCTAGATGTGGTATCTTTCGACCAGAACAGTATTTTCCCATCTGAGATGCGCTATACAGAAGTCATGGTAAGACACTTAAATAAATAATCCTGTTTGTGTCAATGCAAGCTATGCTACATCTGTGCATTCTTCCAGGACTGTATGTGTTCCCCTGACTAGCAGAATTAAATCCTGTACGGATGGCACTAATCTCCAGCTGTTGCAGAACTACAACTCCAGCCATAAGGCTGGGAAAGAATCATGAGCATTATAGTTTTATCACCCTTGTTGTAGAGTTATAGAAACAATATAGTGTTTGGAATACAAAGCTGAATACAAAGTTCCTAACACTATAGGAACCCTCTGCTCCCCCTCCCTCCCCCTCACCTTGTTTCCTCTATCCCCTGGCTATATAAAGGTTTAAAAACAAACTTTTCTCACTTACCTAATTTCAGCGCTAATGTCCCTCTGTGCAGGAAGCGCCTCTAGTAGCAACCACTAGAGGCAGTCTATTTTTTTTTCAATTCTTTATTTTTGCAATGACAGCATGGTATGGTACATAACATTACGCACAGGGAATGTACATTGCAAACTCGTCCTGTAAGAAACACCAAATATTTAAGATCGTAAGTGATAGCAATAAGGATATACCAGCTGTTGAAAAGGCAATAAAAGGTGTAAATGTGCGTGTGTAAATCAACCCAGCCATCAGAGTGTTTTTTAATTTTTCTAAAGCAGGAAGAGCATAGGAAACCTTTAAAAATGAATGTAGGTAGAGGAAGATAGAGAGGGAATTAATGGGGGGGGGCTGTCAGTCCAGAAGATACACATTGAGTTATGTGATGGAGGGTAGTGTGAGCTGCCGGGAGGAGCTATGAGACAGAGATGTATACACTCGGAAATATTCGGTAGAATATATATATTTTTTTTGGGGGAAGGGCACCGACCCCTCGCTTGGACAGGAGATTAGGATATCTATAGTGTATTTGTTGTCCCGTCCCTGACTCCAGCCCCGTAACCTCCCATGTCTGTGGTGAGCCACGGGTCCCATATCTTATCAAAGGCGGTAGTCGTGCCTCTGACTTGTGCAGTCAATTTGCCATATTTCCTGCCACTCAATACCCTCCAATGTCTCCCCCAAGTCCGCTTCCCATTGATCTGTATAGTGCAACTGGCCCCATTCCTTGGTGTTAGAACCAAGGTGAGAGTATCGTAGGGTGATCATGCCCAGTGGTACAGCCTCACGTCGACAGATTTACTTATAAAACGTCAATTGGGAAAGTTCGGCTTCTCTAACTGTCTGTTGTTGTGCAAAATCTTTAAGTTGGAGGGAGCAAAAAAATCAGCTGGTTTCAATGTATTTCTAGATTTTTTTTTCCCAATTTGACAATTTTTATTTTGTCATATTTCAAAAAGCAGTATATGGGGGGTACAGAACGAAAAGTGGAGGTGGGGAGGGAACTAGACAATGTTGTTTACACGTACATCTCTCTGCCTTGGATAGGTACATTGTATAGTCCACAATACACATTTCGGGTTCCACAATTTCCAATGTTAGCGTATACAATTTTAACATTTACACTTTTAACGTTCGTATTTTCCCAATCCGTATTTGCTACCTGTCTCGGAGTCGCAAGTGTAGTATGGAGTGCTGGTCGTAATATCGCCACTTGTGTGTGCTGTTGGACTAGCGTCTAGCGGGTAAATTAGCTTTGCGATATGTATGTTGTGTTGCTCGACCTTATCACGTGCGTATTGTACAGACCCCATGTCACTGCATGCTGGTCACCTTCAGGGAAATTGGTTTCTTCTCCCCCAGGAGCTTTGCGTAATGTTGTTGCCTGGTGGCAGCGTCTGGGCTAGGCGTACGTGAACTACTAGCGGGGTGCGTGCTAGAGCGGCTGTCTAGATGCGTATTGAGTTGTAGCTAGATAATTGTTTGGGGGGGTGGGGATAGGGTGTGCAGAGAAGGGAAGGGAAAAGAATTAAGGGAAGAAAGGGGAAGAGATTCAGTTTGTGGAACTTTTGAAAATGGTGCTCCTCTTTGCCCTCCCTCTGGGCCTATGTTTCCTAGCTGCTAGTTCTGCCTGTCTACCTCCAATGTTCCATCGGTTCTATGTATTAGTACATCCTCCCAGGTCAAGTCTCAGACATTCCCTGTCTCTCTGGCTTTGGTTCGCTACTCAATCTCCCGTGTCCTAGCGTACCTATGCGTCCTGAGTTCTAGAGTGGTGTGAGCTTCTCTGAATGTAGTCTGCCCATTTGTTTTTTGCGTCTATGATCGTGTGGTTATTTGTAATGTATTTGTTTGCCATAGCCTCATATTCCCAGTTTGTGGTTGTTTGCGTTAGGAGATCGTGTTTGCTGGGTGCTTGTGGTTGTTTCCAGTGTCTGGCTATTAGGGTTACTGCCGCTATGAGCACTTGGAATATCAATTGTCTTTCCTGCTTGTGCCATTGGGCAAGATGCATGAATAGTATGCCCTGTTCGGGCCCCAAGCGGTAGGGGTGGCCTATCACGTCTGTGATTATCTCTTCCACCATCTCCCAGTATGAAGTGATTACCGGGCACGTCCACCAAATGTGGTACATTGTCCCCCTGTCTCCGCAACCCCTCCAGCATTCCCCTGAGCTTCCCGGGTATAGTTTCGCTAGTTTGTCCGGGACCATGTACCATCTGTACATAATTTTCCTCACTGTTTCTAGGTGTGTAGCGCATGATGTGTGCCCTTTGTGTGTTTGGAATGCCTGTTTCCAGTCTAGGTCTGCTATCGGGCGTCCTATGTCTTTCTGCCAGGCTTCTCTAAAGTCTCCGTGTCCGTTTGTATTTACTGTATTCAGGAGCGCATATAGTTTTGACAGGATTTTTTGGGGTATACTGCCCTGTAGGCATAGCTGTTCTAAGGCGCCTTACAGTATGAGGTCACAAAAGATTTCAGTTGGAGGTAAGGGAATATGTGTCTGGTGTGCAAGGAGAACTTGGTTTGCAGCGCTGGGAATGGCAGTATCTCGTTGCCCTCGCATATCTGGCTAAGGTGGGTGCATCCCCCTCTCACCCAGGGGGTGTGATCAAATGTCGGTATGCCCACTGAGATGCTCGCGAGTGGGATATTCCCTATAGTTGGTCCGACCATGCCCAGTGATGCCCTCACAGAGTCCCATGTTTTGATCATTGCTGCCGTGGTTGGTAACATGGTTGCATACGGCGGTCATAGTTTGTACGGCAGCTGGTATAGGTGTCGCAGCCCCTGTTTGCATGCCCAGTGTGTTTCTATGTGGAACCACTGGGGGGGGGGGTCTTCCACTGCGTTTGTTGCTGCTATGGCTGTCAGCAATGTAGCTCTATGGTAAGATCGGATGTTGGGCATTCCCAGTCCCCCTTCTTTGATCGGTTTTTGTAAGAGCTTGCTGGCCACCCTCACTTTGCGGTTGGCCCACACAAACCGTACGATCATCTTTTGGATCGTGGTCATGTATTGGCCCGGTAGACTAATCGGGATTGTGCGCAACAGGTATTGGAGTTTGGGAAGTATAGACATCTTAATCGCCGCCAGTCTGCCCAGCCACGAGAGATATTTGCCCTCCCATGTGTGTAGTGTGTCTGTAAATGATTTGATCAGTTTAGTAAAGTTTAACTTGAACAAATGGGGTAGGTGGGGGGGTATATGGACGCCCAAAAAGGTAATATAGTCCTTCCTCCAGTCGAATGAGAAAAGCTCACTCAAGTGTTTCAGTCGGTTAGATTGGACTCCCACACCCATAGCCTGGGATTTAGTGACATTCAATTTGTAGTAGGAGTTAAGGCCGTATTCTTTAATGTCTTCCATGAGATTTGGTAGTGAAATTTGGGGTTGTGTTAATGTCAACATGACATCGTCTGCAAATAAATTGATTTTGTATTCCCTGTCGCCCACTGTTACTCCGTGTATGGAGCTGTTGGCCCGTATTGTCTCTGCTAGCGGCTCTAAAGCCAGCACATATAGTAAGGGGGAGAGTGGGCATCCCTGCCTCGTTCCGTTAGTGATGCTAAACGGTTCCGATGTGAAGCCTGCCGTGACTACCTGTGCCGATGGCTTGCTGTATAAGGCCTCCACTGCCGAGCAGAATGCCCCCGGCATCCCAAACTTATCCAGGACCGCTTTCAGGAACCTCCAGCTCAGGCGGTCAAAGGGCTTTTCCGCGTCCAGTGAGAGCATTACACATTCTGTATGTTGCCTGTGGACGCTATGTATAATGTCGATGACCTTTCTAGTGTTGTCCCCCCCTTGTCTCCCTTTAACGAATCCGACCTGATCATTCCTGATTAGGTGCGGGAGGATCGTGCCCAGTCTGATGGCGTATATTTTCGCGAAGAGTTTTGTGTCTGTGTTTAGTAATGATATCGGTCGAAAATTTTGTGGGTGGATTGGTGGCTTGCCTGGTTTAGGCAATGTAATGATATGAGCTTTGAGGGCTTCTGGCGGGAGTGCGTGCTTCGTGGCTGCTTCATTAAAAGCATTTGTGAGGTGAGGGGCTAGGGTTCGTTGGAAGTGCTTGTAGTAACAGTTGGCAAACCCGTCTGGACCTGGGGCTTTATCAGAAGGTAGAGAGTCGATCGCTCTCATCACCTCCGTTTCTGTAATCAATGCGGACAGGCTGTCTTGTTGAGTGGGGGTAAGTTTGGGCAGGGCAATCTTGTCTAAGTAGGAGGCTATTTTAGCCCCCTGTGGTTGGGGTGTATATGGGTCGTCCCTGAGATTGTACAATGATTCGTAGTATTTGGCGAATGCGTTGCTAATGTCTTTGGGTGCCACTATTTTCTGTCCGCTTGGAGACAGCAAGTACGCTATTTTTTGGGCTGCTTGTTGTGACTTTAATCTTTGTGCTAACAGTTTACCTGCCTTGTTTCCCTGTGTGTAGTTTTGTGCCTTTAGCCTTTTCAGGTGGTATCCCACTTGTTCTAAGGACATTTGGTGTATCAGTCTTGTGAGTTTCGTGATTTGTTCCCGCAGTTCGTGTGAGGGAGTAATTTGGTTTTGTGTCGTAGCGCGCTGGAGGTCTGTTTGGTATGTGTGAAGCTGAAGGTGGGATTTCCTTTTTAGGTACGTTGCCCGCCGTATCATTTGTCCCCTTATCACTGATTTGTGGGCCTGCCAAAGGATACCGCGGCTCGTTTCAGGTCTATCATTGTCTTGGAAATATTGGGCTAATTTTTGGTTCAGCTCCGTGATGAAGGCGCTATCTTTCAGTAGTGTTGCGTTTATTTGCCACGGGCTTCTATGGGTCGTGTCATATAGGTTTTTCAACATCAGCTCTACCGGGGCATGGTCGGACCACGCACTGGGCCGTCTGGTCTATCCCTGCCCCTGAGATAAGGAAGCCATCAATGTGGGAATAGGTGTTGTGTACTGTCGAGAAGAATGTATACCCTCTTTCCCCTACATGGGTGGCTCTCCATACGTCATACAGATGGTTGTTGTGGATAAGCTTGCTTTGCGAAGGGGTGCGGTGCGCCTTCTAGCTGGAGCTAGTGTCGTATCGATGGAGGAGTCGAATACATGATTGAAGTCGCCACATATGACTGTCGTCCCTTGCTGTACTGACTATAGTTTCTGTATAAGTTTGTGTAAAAAGTTGCGTTGGTTCGTGTTGGGGGCGTATATGTTCGCTATGGTGTAGGGCATGTCATTAAGCGTGCCTACTATAATAACGTATCTGCCGTCCGGGTCAATGTGTTGGGAATGCGGGGCATAGGCCACATTTTTGCTAATTAGTATGGAGGTGCCTTAGGTTTTGCTGGCCGATGTGGCGTGGATTTGTATAGGATAGTCTTTCTGTAGGATGTTGGGGTGTGCGTTAGTCATGAAATGTATCTCTTGAAGGCATAAAACATCTACTGCTTTATGTTTGATCTCTCGGTATAGGAGGTGTCTCTTAACCGGGATGTTTAGTCCCCTAACGTTGTGTGAGTAGATTTTCAGGGTGGTAGGTGGTCATAAGATGGTATGTGTGCTTGTGTTTGACATCTATATGTCGGGGGGTCCTTGTGTCCCAGTTCCTCAACTCAAGGGCTGTCCCCGGGTATCCTGAAGGCTACTTCGCATGTCTTTTGGCTCAGAGGGAGATAGCGGCGGAGTCCCCACTCTATCTGTTTTTGGTCGGTAGCTTACGGAGTGCATAACAGTTGAGAGGGGCGTATGAGGTGCAAGTGTGAATACAAACATAAAAACACAATAGATAACAGAAATGGGTAAACTATAACAAACTAACTTTTTTGCCAAACTATCGGCTATGCACCAGGTGGTGGTGCGATGGGGGTAGGAACTAATGGTTCCTGTCTTAGCTGCGGTTCGTCGGCCGCGGACTTTGCGTGCATGTTTTGTTTTTGTTTCGGTGACCCTATTTTTAGAAAAGTTTGCGTGGAAGGGCTGTCTCTGCCTGCCTGCCTGTGTCCTGAGATTGCATGTTTGTATATTTTTATTTTTTATATATTATTATAACGGAGCTTTCTGGGGTCGGGCGGGGGCGTGAGTGTGATCTCCCATGCCTAGGCCTTCCCCGGTGCTGGTCTCCATGTCACTATATCAACGACCCAGTCTCCTATCTAGCCTTGTTCCCCAGGTTACGTATGTCGCTTTGGCTCTCACACTCCGCCCTCCCCCCCAGTCGCCATGCCCCTTGTCTTTGCATGCGTATCTGTAGTGTAGCTCCTATTGTACATTAACATTAATCAGAGAAAATTTAACAATGCAATTGTTATACAAGCCTGGATTCAAATGGCTGGATTAACAGTTCTCAGGTTCAACGTTACAGCACCTTCCCAGTAAGGCGGGTTAGCATTTGGCTTTCATCCATGATGGAGGGAGTCTTTGAGTCTCTTTCGTTGCGGGCGGAATTTCTATGCCCCAAGTTCTGAGGATTTTCATTCCTTCGTCTGGGCTCTGTATTGTAGTTGGTCGTCCGTTTCTCTGTACGATCAGCTTCACCGGGTATCCCCATCTGTATGGTATTTGTTGTTGGCGGAGTTGCGTCGTGATTCCTGCAAAATCCTTCCTGCGTTTAAGCGTGTATGCTGAGATGTCGGCATAGATTGCTATTGCCTGGTAGGCCGCCGGCATGTCTGTTTTTTTTCTGGTTCTGTTTGCTCTCATTACTTCTTCCTTTATGTGAAAGTAGTGCATTCTCAGCATCACATCTCTAGGGGTTTCAGGTGGTAAGAAGGTGGGTTTTGGCACTCTGTGAGCCCGGTCCATCAGGAACATGTCAGGGGGCACATCAGGGGCGAGCGCTTTGAACAGTCCCACTAGGTAGGCCATGAGTTCTGCCGGGCCTATATTTTCCGCTATACCTCTAATACGGAGGTTGTTCCTCCGACCTCTGTCCTCAAGGTCTGCGGTTTTCCCCTCCTGTGCTTCTATTCTCTCTGTAAGGCTGTCCAGTTTTGCTGCCATAGAGTTTTGGGCCTCCTCATACGCCACCATTTTGTCCTCAAGCCTGGCTGTCCTATCTTCCAGCTCTTTAACATCTGCATTAATGGTATGGATTGCATTCTGTAACGTGAGCTGTAACTTGCCTGCCATAGTGTCCAGCATTGCCTGCAGGATCCCCTGCGTGACCGGTAAGTCGGCAGCCGCCTGTTCTGGGGAGGGAATGAGCTCTTCCTCGCCGCCATCTTGATTTTCGCCATGTGGGCCGGGCCCTCGGGTCAGGCTCGCTTTGATGCCGAAGAAATTAGATTTTTTGCCCCTCTCTGCCTGCCGGCGGTGTTTGGGCTGGGACATCGTTGTGCCTCGGGCTTTGTGGTGTCAGGTCACCTGCTTTGCGGCTTGTATAGGCCTGTGCCGCACGGAGCTCCGGCTACATGCGACCGCTCGCTCCGGAGTCTAGGACACGCCCCCCGTATTTCTAGATTTTAATTCATCAAAGATTATAAGGCTTCCACCTTCGTAAAGATGACCCACTTGCTAAAGTCCAGCATATTCTACTCCTCTAAAATCATGTGCCTTCATACCCAGGGGGGAATGCCCTAATTTGCAAGAAAGGTATCATATGGGAGAGGGATGAAACCAAACCAAACTTTGGGGCATTGTTGTCCCAAACCCGGAGAGAAATCAAAATAGCCGGACATGTGGTGCGTAAGAAAGGTCTTTGGTCCCAGATATGCAATTGTGGGAGGTCTGCTCCCATCATCAACGATTCCAGCTAACCCATCTTCTTTCATCTGGGGTGAATGCCATAACGCAACTTGTGCTAATTGGGCTGCTAAGTAGTAGTAATATAGGTTTGGCAATTCAAGGCCCCCTGTCGTTTTAGTTTGATATAGGATGTTTTGATATATCTTGTGTCTCTTATTCTTCCATATTAATGCCCCTATCGCCTGTTGCAGGTGTGCTAAATTAGACTTAGTAAGTGGGAGTAGTAGGGTCTGGAATAAAACGAGAATACATGGTAGGATGTTCATTTTGACCGAGTAGATTCTACCAGTCCACGAAATCGGTTTGACGACCCATTTTTCCATATCATTGGTCAAGGCTTTGAACATCAGGACATAGTTTTGTTGGCTCTAGAGGCAGTTTTAACCCTGCAATGTAAACACTGAAGTTTCTGTAAAACTGCACTGTTTTACATTGGAGGATTAAGGGAATTGAGACACTGCACACAGTCCACTTCAATGAGATGAAGTGGTCTTGGTGCCTATAGTGTCCCTTTAAACAGGGAAGATTAACCATGACATGCATATGTTGCACAACTATGGTAGACAGCATGCATTTATATTCATTGTTGGTCTTGTTACATTGATGTATACTCTATTTCTAAACAAACTGTTTCATTCATCTAGACTGGGGGCCCTGAATTGCTTGAGCACTTTCCAGACAGAGCATTGTTCTTGGCATGGCCAGATGCAGATGGTAAGTGTCATTTTCAAAGACTTTTTTTGTAATAATTTTTTAACACAGCATTCACTATTTGAATCTTGATAATGGCTCTTTTATTTATTTCTTGTGATTCATGTTTCTTCCATGCTGGAATATATTCCAGCTGCAATGCAGCTATGCACTTTTCAGCTACAACATTAAGACCACCTACCTAATATTGTGTAGGTTTCCTTAGTGCTGCTCAAACAGCCGTGATGCTTCTAGGCATGGATCAAGACATTTAAATCCTGCAAGTTACGAGGTGAAGCCTCCATGGATTGGATATGTTGTTCCAGCACATCCCACGGTTGCTCAATCGGATTGAGATCTGGGGAAATTGGAGGCAACACTTTGAATTGTTTGTCATGTTCCTCAAACCATTCCTGAAAATTTTTTGCAGTGTGTCATGCTTCTGAAAGAGGCCACTGCCATGACTGGAATGTACATGGTCTGCGACAATCTCTATTTAGGTGGTACATGTCAAAATAACATTCACATGAATCCAGGACCCCAAGTCCCAGCAGAACATTGCCCAGAGCATAACACTGCCTCTGCCAGCCTACCTTCTTCCCATAGTGCATCCTGCTGCCATCTTTTCTTCCGGTAAATGACGCACACGCACCCTGCCATCCGCCGGTCCAGTTGCTATATGGTCCAGTTCTGATGCTCCTGTCGAAGACACTTTCGGCAGTAGACAGGGGTCATCATGGCCACTCTGACCGTGTGCAGCTATGTAGTCCCATACGCATCAAACTGTGATGCACTGTGTGTTCTGACAGATTTCTATTATGACCAGTATTATGTTTTTCAGCAATTTGAACTACAGTAGCTCTTCTATGTGACCGGACCAGACTGGCTAGTGTTTGCTCCCCACATGCATTATTGGCTCCAGTTCACTGGTTGTCCTTCCTTACACCACTTTTGGTAGGTTTTAACCACTGCATACAAGGAGAATCCCACAAGAAATGACGTTTTAGAGATACTCTGATCCAGTTGTTTAGCCATTACTATTTGGTCCTTATTAAAGTCACTCAGATATTTTCACTTGCCCATTTTTTCTGTTTCCAACACATTCAAGAACTGACTGTTCACTTGCTGCCTAATATATCCCACCACTTGACAGGTGCCCTTGTAACCATATAATCAATGTTATTCACGTCACCAGTCAGTGGTTTTAATGTTGTGGCTGATCAGGGTATAAGGTACCATTTACAGCTGGGGATTTCAAGGTTACTTTTAAAGGTTCAAAAGATTCACAGCTGTTGTAGAACCACAACTACAATGATAAAAATTGACAAAATAGTGTCAATTACCAATATTTATGGTCATTATTCTACTAAGTACTATTCTTGTTCCAGACTTATAAACCAGTAGAATCAAAATTGATTTAAGGGACCACTATAGGCACCCAGACTACTTCAGCTCAATGAAGTGGTCTGGGTGCCAGGTCCATCTAGGATTAACCCTGCCTGCTGTAAACATAGCAGTTTCAGAGAAACTGCTATGTTTACCTATGGGTTAATCCAGCCTCTAGTGGCTGTCTCATTGACAGCCGCTAGAGGCGCTTCCGTGCTTCTCACTGTGATTTTCACAGTGAGAAGACGCCAGCGTCCATAGGAAAGCATTGAGAATTTAGCCAATGACGGGGAAAGGAGGCGGAGAGTCCCCACCGCCGAGGGAGCCTGGCGGGGGAGAAAAAGTAAGTGTTTAACCCCTTCCTCACACCAGAGCCCGGCGGGGCCCTAAGGGTGGGGGGGACCTAGAGACCCTATAGTGCCAGGAAAGCGAGTATGTTTTCCTGGCACTATAGCGGTCCTTTAAAAGGAAATCGATCTTTATACTTCAAAGTATTATGATTCTGTAGTTCAGTAATAGCTCAACTAAGAAATATATCGCCATTCCTGATGCACTCAACATATATGCACAGATGAAACGCACATTGGATGCATTTGTTTCCTTTCCCTGTCTTTTTGTATATTTCTTTGGTGAGAACTAGCTAAGAAATATATAGGTGACAGTAACAGTTGGTGAAGAATTACAGCCCATGGTGAGCTATATAACAGCTAGAAATATGCAATCTATTTTTCTATCTACAACTGGGTCAATTGGGTATATGAAGAGGTCCTCTAGTGGTGACAATTATTATTATTATTATTGGTATTTATATAGCGCTAGTTTATTCCGTAGCACTTTACAATAAAAGGGGAATTTACCATACGAAAGTGTTGGCCACCAGAATACAACGAGTACTACCGAGCATAGTCCATGCGGATCAGACGGGGTTTATACCTGGTAGGGAAGCCCGAGACAGCACACTCCGACTCTTCTCCATACAACATCGAGCACGGATTTCACGAGAACGCCTTATACTGCTATCCACAGATGCTGAAAAGGCCTTCGATCGGGTCAACTGGTCTTACATGATGCATACATTGAGGGCCATGGGAATGGGACCGAAGATGATGTCGTGGATATCGGCATTATACGATAAACCCAGCGCAGCGGTTAAGGTAAATGGAGCACTTACGTCCAGCTTTGAGATTCACAACGGGACCAGACAGGGGTGCCCCCTATCCCCCCTTTTATTCGCAATGTCTCTGGAACCGCTCCTACAGGCAATACGACAGAACCCTGACATCCAGGGCTATTCATGGAAAGGGACGGAACACAAGGTGGCCGCATATGCGGACGATCTCCTCTTTTTCGTCTCTAATCCACGAATCACACTGCCATGCTTGCTCCGGGAATTTGAAAACTTCGGCAAAATTGCAGGATTCAAACTTAATTTATCTAAATGTGAGATCCTTAACGTCACCTTCCCACCAACCGAATTTGCCACACTGAGCGCAGCTTTCCCATTTCGCAGATGTGAGGGGAAGATGAAATATCTCGGCATCTGGGTAACACACAACCCACGCGACCTTTACCAACACAATTTTGCCGCCATACTACGACAAGTAACTTCGGACCTCGATCGATGGGCATATCCACACATCACCTGGCACGGCAGGATAGCGGTCCTCAAGATGAACGTGCTGCCACGGATATTATACTTATTCCAAACCATCCCAATATCGCTACCAACAACGTTCTTCTCTAGCCTGAAATCGGCGGTCATCCGATATGTTTGGAGAGGGGAAAGATCCCGCCTTCGACATGAAACGCTCTGCTTACCCAGTATCAGAGGAGGCCTTGCACTGCCGGACTTCAAAAAGTACCAACAAGCCACTACTATGCAACGTATCCTGGAGTGGCACGCAGCAGAGGACCCGAAACAGTGGGTAACTCTGGACAGAGAAGACTCAGGGACCAAACTTAAAGCAGACGTATGGAGGGAGGTGAAAGGTCGGTGTGGATCAGAAGAGGACGGCAATCCGGTGGCACAGACTCTGAAGATCTGGAAATCAATTAGGAAGGTGGAACAGGTCTCTCCGACCCCCAGTCCTATGATCTCAATCACACACAACCCCAATATAGGGGGAGGACTCCCCTTTAGGACCTGGGCCTTTTTAGGGGAAAGAGAATATATCCCAATATGCACGATCCTGGAGGAAGGTCGGATAAGGTCCCTCAGCTCACTATTAGCTGGAAGACCGCAGACTCCCCTCCTGACCCTCCATTATCTACAATTAGCACATTACTACGAAACCTTACCCCACAAGGACCTCCTACACAGGGACCTTACATGGTTCGAAAGCATATGCCGCAGAGGTTCTAAACTCGAGAACGCGGTATCGATGCTCTATCAACATCTACTGATTGGGGCCTCTTCGGATAACAATACATTTCAAAGACGATGGGAAACACAACTAGATATTGCCATTACACCAACGCAATGGGGGACAGCGCTCCTCTGGCAGCACAAAAGCTCCTCAAGCTCCTACTATCAGGAGGTCAATTATAAACTGATCTCCATGTGGTATAAAACCCCGGTAGCCATACAGAAATTCTATCCAGAGGCGTCCCCACTCTGCTGGAGATGTCAAGACGCGAGAGGTACCATAGTACATTTATGGTGGGAATGCCATACCATCGCACAATATTGGGACCATATCCACGCCAAAATAAAGGAGATCTTGGGGGATGACACGGAATGGTCCCGAGAATTGGCCCTACTACATATTACCTCACAAACTATCCCTAGATATAAGAAATCAATTCTACGCCATCTCTTAAATGCTGCCAAATCCTTAATCCCAGTATATTGGAAGACAGCAACCGTTCCCACGATAGAAGAATGGATCCATAGGGTCAAGGACATCCAGGCGGCCGAGGCGGTGCGGGCATCCCTGGCGGGACGCTCGACAAAGCACGCGGAGACATGGCAACCCTGGTTCTCGTACCAGGCGGACAGATAAAGGGCCCATGCGGGGGCGGGGGAGCGGGGCGGACAGGCTGGGACTGGTCACCTCTGTTGGCCGAACTCACCCTCAGGTGCCGGATAATCCATCTTGGGAGGGGTTATGGCCCGTAGTAACATACGATCCCTTAATGACCCGAACTTATGCTCGCGCACGCTAGAAAACCGATACTGTGGTATCATGAAATACCTACCGACACACACACGACCAACCGACACACATGATAGACTGAACTACAGCATATAGGACACATCACACGGCTGTGCAATTTAGGAGATGGAGCCTGAAGGGAAGGACCCAACACACAGTATAGAGCCGACCACTAGATGAATCCACTGAGACAATAACACAACATAGGTTCACAATGCATGACCAACGTACCACAGCAAGCCGCTAGGACAGGACCTGACAAAAACCCGACCATCACGCCCAAGCTCAGGACCCGTTGCGGTTGGGAGAGGGAGTGTGGACATCGGGGAGAACTATCCTCACACATACACATCATCCCTTAACCCTCTTCTTTTTCACCTTATAACACGTTATATATTTTTTGTTACTTCCATATGTCTCTCAGGGATACAAGTCACTAACCTGACGAATGAAAGCAATATTTGCTCGCCTATATCTAGAGGTTCGAGCATCAAAGGAGGAACATGCCCCACACAAACACACTAAATATTATCCTGCAAGCAATTACTAAAAATGTTCTCTTGTGCTGTATTTATGCAAATAACATGTACGCTGACTAAGCCTTAAATTGAGAATGGAATGTAAGTGCCTTGAAGTTTTGGGAAATTCACAATATTTTGTTTTGATAACTGACATGTGTTGTAACAATTAATAATGCTATCCACTGAGGCCTGCGAGCCTAACTTTTTTTCCTCAATAAAAAAGATTTACAAAAAAAAAAAAAGAATTTACCAAATGAGACAATAACAAAATGTAACAGGAACAATAGGTATTTGAGGAACCAGCTCAAACGAGCTTACATTCTAGAGGAGGTGGGGTATAAAAACCCAATAGGAAGGGAGACAGCAAATAGACATGGTGGGAAAGTAGCAGAACTGGAGGTGAGAGTAGAGTGTGGCCCTTTAGGGGAGAGCGAGAGGCAGGTTTGTGAGATAGAAGTTACTCTTGGAGGCCATAAGCAATCCTGAAAAGATTGGTTTTGAGGGACTTCTTAAAGGGAGACAGCGCGGAAGGAGGCAGCTGCAGCATGAGGAGTCTCACAGTAGCAGGACTCCAAGCCACCCTCCTGGTACATAAGGTAAGCTGAAGGGAACAGGAGGGTGGTTGGAGATATTTTTTTAAATCACCTGTATATGTGTGTGTGTGTGTATGTGCGTGTGTGTGTATGTGTGTGAGTGTGTGTATATAGATGTGTTTGAGTATAAGTGTGTGTATGTGTATGAGTGTATGTGTGAGGATGAGTGTGTGTATGTGTATGAGTTTGACTGTGTGAGTATGAGTTTGAGTGTATGTAGGAGTGTGTATGTGTATGAGTGTGTGTATGTGTGTGAGTGAGTAGGAGTGTGTGTCAGGGTGTGTATTTGTGTGTGTGTGTGTATATATATATATATATATATGTCAGTGTGCATCTGTGTCTGCGCACACATTTGTGTATGTGCATATGTATGTCAGTGTGCGTATCTGTGCCGTGATGTGGGCATGTATCAATGTTGGTGTGTGTCAGGGTGCATGTGTGTATATGTCAGTGTGTGTGTGTGTGTGTATCTATATGTGTGTATGTGTCGGTGTCCATATGAATTTGTGTGTAGTGTTGGTGTATTTAATGGTGTACATTAACACACAGATGCATATAAATACACCGTTAATGTACATGAATATCTATGTAAGTATGATAAATACACCGTTAATGTACATCAATATCTGTGTAAGTATGTATGTATGTATGTGGTAGTGTATGTGCATACATCCAAGCAGTGAAACACCAGCACAACATACAAGCACACTCCTGCAATCTAACACAAATATTACATACAAATACACCCCTGCATTCAAACTAAAAAAAATATACAAACACACCCCTTCACTCAAACACAAATACTTCACACAAATGTACATCCGCATTTAAAAGTGAACATTACATTCAGACACACCCCTGCAATCAAACGCAAACGTCACGTACAAACACACCCCTGTATTAAAACACAATAACTATATACAAGCACCTCTTCAAACACCAACACTGTACATTACACTATAGCGCCAGTAAATGCCGCAGCGCTGTACAGATATACAACCTAGAAATTTTGACTAGGGGTGCCTTGGAAAAATACTGAAATATTAAGGGCACCTTGAACCTAAAAAGTTTGGGAACCACTGGCCTATATTATAAGCTTTTGGGCTTGCTGGTGTGTTTCTGTCTTTTTCCTACAAGGGTACACACAATTTAGTAAGCTTGGTGTGCCCATGAAACTGAATCCATTTATCTTGTGATATACATGCCCAGTTACTGTATATATCTCGTTAACATCTACCTGCTTTTGTTTAAAATACATTTCTAGACCAGACCTGCAGTAATTTGCCATAAGAGTAAATCCAAAATTCCAAGACAATATGTAAGACATGCTGAAAGGGGTGATCTGTAGTCAAAGGAAAACTAAGTTTCAATATTTAGGCCAAAAACTGTTGACTTTGAAGTCTGTTAGCCTATATTGTTCGGTACGATTTTCAACTCGACCATGATTCACTGTTTAGCGAATAAAGCCTATTGAGTGCATAATAATTTATATGAACACTAGTGATGTCCCGAACAGTTCGCCGAACGGTTCGACGTGGACGGCGAACATAAACATAGACTTTGGCCCTGTACCTCACAGTCAGCAGACACATTCCAGCCAATCAGCAGCAGACCCTCCCTCCCAGACCCTCCCACCTCCTGGACAGCATTCCATTTTACATTCATTGTGAAGCTGCATTCTTAGTGAGCTGTCCAGGAGGTGGGAGGATCTGGGAGGGAGGGTCTGCTGCTGATTGGCTGGAATGTGTCTGCTGACTGTGAGGTACAGGGTCAAAGTTTATGTTTATGTTCGCCATCCGTGGCGAACCGTTCGGCGAACCGTTCGGGACATCACTAATGAACACATTTCTACAAATTGCACAAAATGGTACATGAAATAGAGAGAAAATAATGACATGGTGCAGTATAAGCAATGCAAATAGCTGGATCAAGTTCAAAACATGCAAAATAAACAGGAATTACTAACTATTCAAATAAACCTTTTGGCCTCTTATACATATTGCTTCCAAATAGAACGCACTTCACTTCTTCCACATGATCTCTCTCTCTCTCGGAGTGAAAGTCAAACAGACTGTGTTCTTTGTAATTGTCTGTGAAGTTATCAGTCGACAGGGTACAAGAACAGGAATACAGACTTCTCCATGGTGAAGAGCAGCCATACTTCACTTGTTATATCACTACTGCCAATAGAGGGCGCTAGATGCACATTAACTATTGTTTCAGAAGCAAGCTATAATCAGTTACAAATACATCAATGATAGCCAAACCAGACGTGGAGGGGAAAATAAGCCAGCACAGTTAAAATAAAATATATAGGTACCCTTAAACTAATGCTCGGTACCCTTAAACTAATACTAAGTATCTATATACATATATATTTGCTGGAGGTATGTATGCTGCAGCTGTGCAAGATGGTGGATGGGGCTTAACTACTAAATGTTGTTTCCCAGAAAAACTATGGGTCTGCATGCAAGTTATTTGAATGTCTTAATATAAGGAAAGTGTTCTATTGTAGCTACAAGTGTGAACTTGTTTACTGCAACTTTTAGCAATAAATATGTCTCATTTGTGTGTGTTTTATGTTACCTAATAGAATAGATAGCCATTGAACAATTGCACGAAAGGCACAGATTGTATAGGAAATATCAATGCAAGAATTACCATCACTTATCGCTCCCCTGGTCAACCTAGCCTATACAGTGAAGACTTTTCTTCCTGGCTACCCCACTTCCTCTCCTCTAACACTCCTTCTCCTATCATTGGGGGCATTAATATCCCAATCAACAACTCTAACAGCTCTGATGCCTCTCGGCTGCTCTCTGTAGCCTCCTTCTTCAGCCTCATGCAATGGTCTACCTCAGTAACATATACAGCGGCAAACACACTTGATCTCATCTTCACCAATCTCTGTACTGCCTCTAATTTCTCCATTCCCATTCCATCCTGTTCCATTTCCTCTAACTGACCACTATCTGCTGACCTTTGATATCAGCATACCCAAATCATCCCACCCTATGTACATCAATCTCATAGAGACATCCACTGTCTTGACCTACAGAAATTTTCCACCAATCTGCAAACTCTTCTTTTGCCCATCTCAAACATCACCTGCCATTGTTCTGCAATCTCCCTCTACACTCCACCCTCTCCTCTTTACTAGATATCATGGCACCTCCTATATTTACACATTATAAGCAACCCCAGTTACAATTTTGCACACTAAGCTGACCTGTTGCCTCCAAAAATAACTCAAGAAGTGCTGAAAGCTGCTGGAGGAAGACTCATTCTGCGTCTGACTTCTTCCACTATAAATTCATGCTACGCTCGAACAGTTCGACTCCACAAAAGAAAACTACTGCAATGCCCTGATAACCATGCTCTTCTGAGAACCCAAATGCCCTTTTCACACTTTTAACTCTCTACTTTGCCCTGTTGCTGCTCCTTTTCCTACTTGACTGTTACAAACTTCACAACTCACTTCACTGAGAAGATTTCCTCGATCCTGTAATCTGTCTCTTACCCCTACCAATACTACCCCCAACCCTGCTCTCTGCTCTGTTCTATGCTCACTCGCATCCGCTACGCCAACAGAAGTTTCTGCTCTGCTTTGGTCGTCCAGCCCCACCACTTGTTTCCTCAAATTTATTTCCTCACATCTCATTCTTTCTACTTATCTTGCTCTGTCCTTCACTAAATATTCAATCTCTTTCTCTCCTCTGGCATATTTCCTTCACTCTTCAAGCACGCATCCATGTCAAATCTTGACCCTAAATCCACATCCAACTACCGCTCTGCCTTGCTACTACTGTTTGCCTCCAAGATCCTTGAACGAGTTGTGTATGCTAGATTGACCAACTTCCTTGAATCCAAAGTATCCAATGATTTATTTGCTGATAAATCCAGTGGTCGCTACTCTCTCCTTATTCTCCTTGACCATTCTGCTGTTTTCGACACTGTTGATTACCAACAATTCCTAACTTCTCATTCTCCCTAATCTCGGTTTATGAGACTCTGCTCTTTTCTGGTACTCCTACCTCTCCCAGCGCTCTTTCACTGTTTTGGTGTTTCCTTCTCTGGTTCTTTGTCTTCTCTGCAACCCCTCTCTGTTGGTGTTACCCAAGGCTCTGATCTTGGTCCTCTGCTGTTCTTGATCTATACTGCCTCACTTGGTAAACTCATCAGTTTTTATACACAATAGTGTTAGGAGTACAACTTTGTATTCCTAACACTATAGAACCCCTTTAAACTTTACCTGTCCAAAACATGGCTTCTTGTCTTTCATCCTTCAAGTGTTGCTACTTCCGTGTCTGTCTCCCTCCAAATCAATGGCCCTATCACCAGCTCTAACTCGCAGGCTTCATGCGTTGGTGTTCTCTTTGACTCTAATATCTCCTTTACCCCTCATATCCAGTCATTCGCCAAATCTTGCTGCTTCCATTTTAGAAACAAATTTCTCATCAGCACCTATAGAAGGCTGGATGCAGCTAATGTGATGGTCCACTGTCTTCTCTGACATTGACTATTGCAATCTGCTTCTCAGTGGTTTTACAAAATGCCAGCTTGCCTCATTACTGCCTTTAATAAATACAGCAACGAGGCTCATCTTAATGTCTGCCCGCACCTCCCATGCCTCCCCCCTCTGCCAGTCCTTACAATGGTTTCCCATTAAGATTTAGGGCTCAATTTAACATTTTGTATTTGCTTGCAAATCTCTACATATTGCTGCCCCTATCTATCCTCACTAATGCACAAGTATGTCCTGTCCAGGCATCTACACTATTCCAAAGATCTGCGTCTTTTCTCTGTTCGTACTCGCATCTCTCAAGCCCACCTTCCTATGGAACTCCCCTGCTCCGTTAGACTCTTGCCCATAGTCAGTTCCTTCAAAAGATCATTAAAACTCACTACTTTAGGAAAGCATATCAATTAAACTGTTAATAGTTTTCTCTCCTGAAACTGTAATTTGAAAAACTAACCCTTTATTGTAAACTATTCTGGTAACCTACTTTTTCCCATACATAAATTACCTCTTGTGCCACTTTACCACAACTACCTCTAGAATGTAAGCTCATTTGAGCAGGAACCTCTGTTCCTGTGCGTCCAACTTGTCTCCAACTGCATATAATGGTCTGTTAACCACCTATTGTACAGAGCTGTGAAATTTGTTGGCGCTTTATAAATTATAATTATAATAATAATAATAATAATACTGAAAGGCGCAGATCCCACATACACCAAATGTATATGTCTGCACAGTATTAAACGAGATCAATATCTGTGTAATAGATGGCACTTAATTTCAATAATTGTACTTAGAATCATATGTACGAAATAGATTCAAACAGATTGTATTGGATTACAAAAAGGAAATTCATACAGGAGGTCCAAAATAGGCATATGCATGGGCAAAAAATTTGGTTCGGTTTGGTACTTCAGCAATTCAGACTTCGGCAATTCGTAAGTATCCCTCTCTTACCACCACAACCACTTACACATCTGTAGGGCTCTCTTATCCTACCCCTGGGTAGGGGTAGGTTAAGGGGTAGGGTTAGGGTTAGGGGTAGGGTTAGGTGCCCAGATTGCCACCACAACCACTTACACATCTAATAGTGCTCCCAGTACCAGGAATTAACTTATGGATTTAGATTCCTGTCATCATTCAAGTAATTTTCCCTCCCTCTTGTGTTTTGCCAATTTTCGAGAATCCGAAGCACTTTGGCACTTCGGCAATTCGGTTCGGCACTTCTGCAGTTCGGTCATTCGGGACTTCGGCAATTCGGAAGCATCCGAATTGCCGAAATTCGTCCGAAGTTACATTCGGAACGAAACAAATTGCTTATGTCTAGTCCAAAAATGTGTTTCTTGTATGTCAGAAAAAAAGACTTTGGTATAAGGAAATTGTTTATTCCTGAAAAGTTACCCATACTGCACAGTTTGTAATATCACACCATGCAATAAAACCATGGCATGGCCTGCTTGACACTATGCAACGCAATGTCCATCGTCAAAGTTTCCAGGCAACAGTTGCTGTGTTCAGCTGCTACCATTATACTCACGGCTACCATTACCTCCATTCTGGTACTGAAATGCTAGACAAGGGACTTGGAAGAGAAAGAGACACTGTCACAGGGACCATTCTACCACCATGTCAGAAGGGGAAAATGACTGAATTAATGGGAGCCACAGCATATGGAGGATGTTACCTGGGACTGTAACTCTCATTAATCTCACGAAGATTGGGACAAGTAATTCCCGATACTGCCATAACAAGCAATCAAATGTCTGTTGTCTCTGTGAGTCTGTGTATATGTGCTTGTGTAGCCCTAACTCTTAAGTTCGAAAAAAATAATGCATAGCAAAAAGATGAATAAATAAAAAGATACATTGAAGTATGTATAAGGGGGTAATAATACCATCTTAGGGTTCTTGACACATGTGTAAACCTTAAGTCTCATGGTTTCTCCAGAACTCTCTCTACGTGTACCAATATATATCTCAGCCAAAAGGAACACGTATAGGACTTTGCCCTCTTTTATTACAGGTCTACTGCTTTGTCGGTTCTGGCACATCACAACCGACTGGTGTCATTTGAATATGTTTATTGGTTATAATATGTTACCTTATCATCACAGCTTTATTGCCCTGATTACAAATAAACAAAGTTCTTCACATTTTATCATGGTACGAATTATTTTAATACTTTAAAAAAGCTAAATTAAGAACCTTTTTTAACCTCTAGTTTGCTCCTTTTTTACATGAATCCTGCCCTGAGAATTTACTTGCTAAATTGTGAGTGCCATTTGACATTGCTAAGGTTGGGACTATCACCTTGTTAAATATTAATTTATTGAGAAAAGTCATGTTGTCTTATGATTTGTTGTCTGTAATATGGGGACTAAAAAACATTTTAAACGTTAGTTAGAAATTGGAGTTGGACTTTGCAATGCCAGCAAATGAATAAAAGCTACCGTATATACTATGAATATAATTATATCTTATAGGGTTATTAACTAAACCCTGAATTTTTGCAAATTATATCTGAATTGAAAAACTATTGCAAAATTAGCTGATCTGGAACAATTTCCCAATTCAGTCATAGTCACTACTTGACTATTTTTGCCTTAGTTTTTTTTATTTCACAAAGTTTCAGGGTTTAGTGAATAAACCTGTTAGTGAACAAAATATCGATAATGTGTTTTCCTCTTCTTCTCAGAGTCTTCTCGTTTCTCTCTGGATTGCCTGTCCTACTTCAGGGGTCAAACACTCTTCCATGTTGGTGAGCTACTTGGAGAAACTATGTCATCCAATCCTTGGGGTCAATCGACCTCACGTGATTTTCAGCTGGCATTAGCTGAGGATTTCTGTTGTGTCAAGAGACTAAAGCTGCCCAGTTGGCCTGGCCAGGTTGACTGGTTCAGCATGTGGAGGAGGAAAAGTTCCCAACTGGTGCTGTGTGATGGTGCTCACTTCCAATATGTGGAGACACAAGTGGAAACAAATAACCAGCTGTAACCACAACACATCAACCATTCTTCCATTTACAGACAATGATTGTGTTGTATACAACCGTAAATACTGGAAAGCAAATTGTTAGTCTTCAACTATGAGTTTCAGTCATGAATGTTGCCTACAAGCCATTAAATCTCATGCAGATCTTCCAGTGAAGGCGTTTACACTATTCTATCCAGTGATTGATATGCATATTGTGTTGTTAAATATGGTGGTTCAGCTATACTGCATGCAATGCATGGAAACATGTTCATTGGTTTATTTAAGACCTCTTTCAGTTTTCAAAATTAATATTTATTTGAAGAATGTTGGATGAAGTTTATTTGCAAATGTTCCGTTATATGGTTGTCTTCCTTGGATTGCTTGTGATTTGTCTGAATTTCTAATACATTTCTATGGACATTTTGTACAAATAAAAAAATATAAATGTATACCTGTGTACTTTAGCATTGACTGTTCTACCATTGTCAAAAATATATATGTATGTTTCAGTGGTTCTTTGAAGATATAGGTTGATTTATTTTTGCTCCTATTGTCCCTGCCCAACTCCAAATCACATATTTATTGTCCAGTGCACTTATTTGGAGTTTGGTGGATTGAAATCCAGAATCTGGCTCCACTTTAGTCTATCGGGCAAAGAGGAGTGGAACACCAATCCCAAGCTCTAATTACACTTTACGAACATAAAACTAAAGCTAAATTACAGTAGAAAATTAAATGAAAAAAAACACTTTCTAAAAATGTCTAATATATAATTTATATTCTCAGTCCTTTGAGTGGTGTTCTTTGTGTATTCCTCATTCTCAAGTTCTCTACCAGAGGCACAGGAGTCCTTTTGTGAACTGAGGTCTCTGATGTCCCACCTGGAATCTCCCAACTTAGATGTCATGGCGCTGAGTGCTCTTTATCACAACTGGGACTATTACTGCCTTCACTTCACATGTCCTTTCTAGCTCCTTTTATTTGTCCACCTTCTCATGTTCCTTCTTCTTGATGTCGTAGTCACTGGGTATTGTCACCTTCACCACCACTGCAGTCTTGTGTTCCTTGTCTACCACTATATCTGTTTAGTTGGCCAGCACATGCATGTCCGACTGGATCTCGAAGTCTTACATGACCTTAGCCCTGTCATTTTCAACTATGGAATATTAAACTGGGTGTGTTAGAGAGGTGATACTGTCAGATAGGTTTAAATCAGAAGTTAAAGGGGAACAGTTTTTTCTCTTACACCTGAAGAAGTGGTTTTATCAGAGTCCATACAGATGTTCAGCTACTAGATGCATACTTGCAAAAGCAGAATATTCAAGGATATAATCTTCCAATGTAGGGTAATAACTGCTTGATCCAAGGATAAATCTGACTGCTATCCTGTGGTCAAGAAGGAATTTTTTTCCTAGCTTGTTGCAAAATTGTGCTTCAAACTAGGTTTTTTGCCTTCTTTTGGATCAACAGCAAAAAACAAATGTGAGGAAGGCTGAACTTGATGGACGCAAGTCTCTTTTCAGCTATGTAACTATGTAACCATGTAACCAGTGAATAAACCTTGAAAGACACATGACTTGTGTTAAAAAATTTTCCACGAGATGCTCCTTTTTTGGTAAAAATATATATATACGGTTTAGCAAATTACATCACAATCCAGTTCAATGTGTGCAAACTAGGGCAAACATTGCGCATGAGGATATATAGAAACATTGTTTAATTTCACCTCTGCCCTTTGTGCTTTCTCTGTGCTGACTGCCAGGTGCAATGGACAGAACTTATAACAATGATCGACAGGGAGCTAAGATATGGGATAATGAGATGTGGATTTCTTAATTTCTACTCAAATGTCCTCAGATATACTTATTTGTTAAACATAGGAATAAGTAAACATAATAGGAAACATACAGACGAGTGGCAATTCTCCTTTAATGCCTGAGATGGATTTGGGAAAATATAACACATTTAACGTATATTTCTACATCCATGGTTACGTCAAATAATTTCAACCAGAATAAGAGAAGGTGGCCCAAGAAAACACCATATATAAATCCTTATACTTATGATTAGTGACTGACGTCACACCAGATATGGTTTTAGTAAAGGGCACTATGTGATTATTATTTTTCATGTGTTTTATATGTTATCCATTAAATTAATTATCATTGCCTACGTTTGCATTTATAAATTGTTGAACTACAAACTGACGTTGTCTATCCTGTACCACTTTCCACAATTCCTTTTCTGCCATGGGACAATCACTGCTATGTCATAGGGTTGACATGACTAGTCTTACTTTTCTGTCTCATAAACTAAATGGCAACATTCCAGGACTGGATATGGCAATGCATGCTCGGAGCAATACGATAAGTCAGATAAACCAAGAGACAAGGCTTTCATGTAAACATTAATGTGATCTCTAAGCAACTACTGTCAGGGCATAGTGTAAAATGTCTTTAGTTATAACGCAGCAATGTCTACAGACTAATGTACAGACAACCACAAGATTTATGCCTTCTCAGAAAAGTCTTTGACTCATCTTGTGCAAGAAACAGTCATCTAATTGGATTGGAATCTATCTCTCTTACATATACATTTCCCCTGGTCATATATTAAGGATCACTATGGTGTTAGGAATACAAATCTGTATCCCTACCACTATTGTACCCATCTGCCCCCATGCCACCCCCCGTTCCCCCAAGGGCAATGGAAGCATAAAAAAAAACTTCTTTCACTTACCGTATTCTAGCATTGAGGTCCCTTGGTGCTGGAAGACAACTACTACAGGCAGTCTTAACCCTGCAATGTAAGCATTGCAGTTTCTCTGAAACTGCAATGTTTTACATTACATAGTTAAGGGGACCTGGGCACTGCACCCAGACAACATCAATGAGATGATGTGGTCTTGTTGCCTATAGTCAGGGGCGTACCTAGAGCATTTGGCATCCGGGGCAGGTCCTGTGCTTGGCACCCCCTTGCCCCCAAGCCCCGCCCCCAGTGCCAGTTTGGCCCCACCTCCAATTTTGCTTAGCTCCGCCCCACTTTTCCTCCATGCGGACAGTTTATCAGCTGTTTGCTTGTGTGAGCTGTACTGGCCGCACGGCACCCTAACTACCATGGGGCACTGTGCGGCCACCGCTCACACAGTCCCCTCCAGCCAGGGCCGGCGCAAGGATTTTTGCCGCCCTAGGCAAAAGTAAAGTTTGCCGCCCCCCCATGTGACATCACAATGCCCCACCCATATGATTTACCATGTTAGCTAACGCCAGTGCTGCAGTGCCGCCGTGTTTACATTAAAAGGCCTGCAGGGACAGGCTATAAACATCAGAACCACTACATTAAGCTGCAGTGGTTCTGGGGACTATAGTGTTTCTTTAATGTGAGGTAAATTAGAGATTAGTACCACGAATAATATACTAGATTGCCTACTTACACCCAGATGAGGATGATGACGGGCTCTAGCTGCAGTCTGGCTCCACTGGTCTGGTGTAGAACAGGCTCTCTGGAGGCGGTTTGTAACTGTGGTCACAAAAATCAATGTTCTGGGAGAACGGGAAGCAGCTCCATTTTTTGGGGGTCCTTTACACAGCTCAAGGTCTGGGTCCCTGGGTCCACCTTCATGTTCCATCAATGAGTTTGTTCACAGGGGGTGTGGAGTGTGTAGGGGATGTCCTGATATGTGTGTAAGGAATGCATTGTGTGAATCTGTGTTTGTATGTGTAAGGGCTGCAAGGTGTGTTTCTGTGTACGAGATGCATTGAGTGTGTGTAAGGGGTGCCTTGAGTGTGTGTAATGAATGCATTGTGTGTAACGGTTGCATTGCTTGTGTATGTGTGTCTGTGTGTGTAATGCAGTGTGTGTAATGCATTGTGTGTTTTTCTGTGTGATGAATGTCAATCTCTCCCCCCCTCCAATTTCCTTCTCTCTCCCCCCTCCCAATTTTTCTTTATCCCCCTCTCCCAATCTTTCTTTATCCCCCCCTCCAATTTCCTTCCCCTCCCCCTTCTCCCCCTCCCAATTTCTTTCTTTATCCCCCTCGCCAATTTCCTTCCCCCCTCCCAATCTCTCCTTATTCCCCCCAATCTCTCCTTATTACCCCCCCATCTCTCCTTATTCCACCCCCCATCTCTCCTTATTACCCCC